CTGGTATCTGGGGTGGCCCACGGGGGGCTGCAGGGCACCCCATCCTGCTGTGCCCTCCACCGGTCGATCTGGCAGGATCTGGTCCCAGTCATGGGGCATCTGGCCTCCAGTAGCCCCAGGCCCCAAGGAAGGAGGGAGCAGGCAGTTTGCCTGCCTAGGGCTGTGGTTGTCCTTCCTTCCCTCCCCTCCTCCCCTCCTCTTCCTGTGCTGGGGAGGGTGCTTCTCTCTTCCCCGGGCAGCGGTGGCAGGGTTCCATCTGATAGCATCAGCCCTTCCCCAGCTGCTGGCCTGACCCCAATGCAGGGGAGGTGGGAGAAAACCGAGCCCCCGGACTGGGAGGACACCTCTGCCATGGGGCAGCCTGCGCTTGCAGCCAACACCGGAGCGATGTGTGTCCCCTGCTCCTGGGCTTGGACTGGGCTCGCCCCGAGGCTCCGCCTGCCCGGGCACCCTCCACCGGGCTCGCAGGTGCCCTGTGGCCCCTCTCACCTCTCTTCTCTCCACCCCACAGGGCCCGGCTGTGTCGGATGGAGGTAAGGCTGCTCTTTGCTCTGGGGCAGGGGAGGGGGAAGCCCACAGCCAGCCCGGTGCCAGGGGCAAGGAGCCAGCAGGAAGCCAGGTCCTGTGTCAGCACAGGCTGTGCCATGGGTGGGCACATGGGCTGCCACAGTGCCAGGCTGAGCCCTCTGCTAGGGTCTCGCCATTCCCCCCTCAGTCCTCCTGCACGGCCCTGCTGTGCCTGTCCCTCCCTTCTGGCTGTTCAAGCCGGCACCCCTGGGGGGTGAGTGGCTTCCTGGAGCAAGCAGCACTTGGGTACCAGCAAGCCCTGGGTTTCCTGAGAGTGAGTCTGTCTGTCCATCTGTCTCATTGTGCATCCGTTATCCAGATGGCCGTTTGCCCACCTTGGCCCTGCTGCAGAATCCTTCTGGCACATGGTGCTGGTGGCTGATGTTCCCACCTGCACACACAGGGTTTGCACAGTTATGCTGCATTTCAGGCAAGAGGAGAAGGGTGGGGAGCCTGGCAAAGCAGCAGCCTTCTGTCTCCTCTGCTCCCATCAGCTTTGCCTGCTTCCATATCCTTATCTTCTCTTGCAAGTTACCCTCTGCTCCCAGCTGCTCATCAGCCAAACCAGTTCAAAAGCTGGGGTTCCCCCTGGAAACTTCCATCTTTTTGATGAATGCATGGTCACGTTGGTTTTCCCCGAGGGAGGATTTCCTCAGGGTTGGGAGCTGGGGATGACACTTCCTCTGCCCTTCTCTTGCTGGGTTTGTTCCTCATCATGGCCAGAGGAATGCAGAAGATAAGTTCAGGCATTTCTTCCCATCCTCCCATCTTCCCTCCACGCTGTGTACCCTCTGTGTCCCCTTCCCTCCTCAGCTTGGTGCCTTCCCCACACATACCGGCTTTGTTCCCCTGGGAGGTGAGTCACAGGTGGAGTCACGGTGACACCTCGAGGAGTGGAGGACAGCTGGTGCTGGCAGGGAGGGCTGTCACACCAACTGTGGCATCACGGCACTCAGCCTGCTGAGGACGCCGCTGTGATGCTCCCTCCTGGCGCTCCCTGCCTGAGGGCTCGCTGGCTCCCAGCCGGATGGGCCAGATGCACTTGCTGCAGATAACGGAGGGCTGCTGCCGATGGGGAGTGATGCTGGGGGACACTCAGGCAGCCAGAACTGACCCTTTTTCTCTCTCAGAATTAAATGCCTCCAGGACCCGTGGCAGCAACCACAGTGTGAACAGCCTGCCAGCACCACCGGCCACCTGCAGCTCCGCACAGGGCTCTGTGGTCAGCTGGGCTGAATCCTTCGAGACGCTGCTGCAGGACCGGGTGGCCGTCACCTACTTCACTGTGAGTGCCACAGCCCAGACCTCAGTCCCCACTCCCATCCACCGCTGGCAACCAGCTGTCCCACAGCCACAGTGTCGTCCAGGCCAGCAGCTCTCTCTGCCCTGCAGGAGTTCCTCAAGAAGGAGTTCAGTGCTGAAAATGTCTACTTCTGGCAGGCTTGCGAGCGCTTCCAGCAGATCCCGGCCAGTGACACGCAGCAGGTACTGGGCTCTGCACAGCCAGGCTGAGCCTGGGTCACGCAGCTGCTGGGAGGGACACGGGCAGAGGTGGATGTGGCTGTCATGCCAGCATGTCCCAGGATACCAGCAGACCCCTGTCCTGGAAGGCTGAGCAGGTTGGGGGCTCTTTCAGGAGGAATAAGGAGATGGACATGATGTGCATCTGAAAAACCACAGCCAGGACTGCCTGTCCCAACAGAGCAAGGCATGCCTCTCCGGGCCAGGGCAGCCAGAGAGCGGAGAGCATTGCTGGGAGCACAAAAGAGACCAAGGGCAGAGAGCTAGACAGAGCCACATGGCTGGGGGAGAATGGTTCCTACCGTGGGCTGTACCTCCATGGAGAGACCAAAGTGTGCCTAGAGCTTGGCGCTGGGTGGGGGTGGCTGGTTCCAATGTCTGTCTTGAAGCCCAGGTACCAATCTGGTCCCAAGGAGGATTTGGCCCCTCAGAGCTCAGGTGGTTCTGTGTGTTGAGCCAGGGGCTCCCCACAGAGTAGCAGTGAGGAGGGAGCTCCTGGTCGCAGCCTGACCCCTGCCTCACTCCCCTAGCTGGCCCAGGAGGCACGGCGGATCTACGATGAGTTCCTCTCCAGCCACTCGGTCAGTCCTGTGAACATCGACAAGCAGGCCTGGATTGGGGAGGACATGCTGGCCACGCCCTCCCCAGACATGTTTCGCATCCAGCAGCTCCAGGTATGAGCAGTACTCCTGTTCCACCCCATCCACTGGATGGGGGCTGCAGGACCAGCTGGCATCGCTGCTGTTGCTGTGGGGCTGTTCCCGTAGTGAGCTGGAGGTGGGCAGGGGTCTTAAGCACCCGCATCCTCCCCTTGCAGATCTTTAACCTGATGAAGTTTGACAGCTACACCCGCTTTGTGAAATCCCCACTCTACCAGGCCTGCCTCCGGGCAGAGAGCCAGGGGCAGCCCCTGCCTGACCTGCGGCCCCACTCCCGCAGCAGCAGCCCCCCACCTGACCTCAGCAAGGTGAGTCGGGGGAAGGGTGATCGCGATGGGGACCTGTCCTTTTGCCTGAGAAAACAGGGCTGGGTCTCTTCCCCACTGCCTGGAGCAAACCCAGCCCCAGGCTGAGGACAGAAAAGTGGCCATGGGACCGGGAAAAGAAAAGAGACAGCCTTAGATGTCCCCATGCTGAGAAGTTCCCCTGTTCTCCCCAGAAGTCGAAGCTGAAGCTGGGCAAGTCGCTGCCGCTGGGTGTGGAGATGGCGGGCAGCGGTGCCAACCGCAGCCCCCGCCGGTCCTTCAGGAAGGGAGAGCGCCGGGAGCCTTCCTGGGCAGGTGGGTGCTGTGCTGAGTGGGGCAGAGGGGCCGTGCCACCCCCGAAGGGTGAAGGGTGTCTGCGGTCCCCCCCACCAGCCGTCTGTCTGTCCTAGAGGGGGGAGAAGGCGCTGGGAGCTCCGTGCTGTGGCGGGAGTCCCAGGGCTCGCTCAACTCCTCGGCCAGCCTGGACCTGGGCTTCCTGTCCTCGGCCAGCCCAGCCGCCAGCCCCTGGACTGAGGTGAGCTGTCACCCCGCTGACCTCGCGGCACCGCAGTGCCACCACCTGGGATCATCCTGCCGCATCCCTCCCGCCAGG